TTCCCTTTCTTAGTAGCATTTTTTTTTTTTTTTTTGGGGGTCAAATTATCATTTATTGTTGAGGCTCTATTTTAATAGGAGGTTATTGGAGGCAATTGATGAGTACAAAGGCGAAGATCCCCTCCAACCATGGCTAGAGTGAGTAATACTTACAGCAATTTCAATTACATACTTGGTTTCTCATGTGAAAGCTAGGGTTTTACCCTCTAGAATTGTGTTTTGTTTCACATATTAAGGCTGTATGCATCCACTATTAATCAGACCTTGTTCGGCTAAGCTAAAAAGGTTTACTTAACAGTAAATAAGTTAGTTTTGAAATGAATAAATAAATTTTTTATTGTTGAAAATTGGTAAATATAGCCCATGTTTGGTTTGGATAGAAATTAAATTTTTAGTAGAAAGTTGGTGAAACGTGAGGTTGAAAGTTGATAAAAGTTGTGGTTTCCATAAAAAGTACGTTGAAAATGACTTTGAGGGGAAAAAAAGAGTTTTAAGAAAGGGGGCTGATAAAGGGTTTAATCTGTTCATTAAAATTCATAAACCATTGGTCAATATTCTTTTTTCAACCACATATTCCAATGGAGCCATAAGTACTATCCACTTATCTTGCAATCATTTTTATCTATTTATAAATTAAACCGTTTATAAATTCTTTCCAAACGAAGGATCTTAACTAACTTTTTTTTTTTTTTTCCTTATCTCCCTAACATGTTTTGCGCTAGAAGTTAATTTTTGCTTATTTTCTAGGCTTAGCCATACGTGCTCTGTAACTTGAATATTCTTAATGTTAATTGTTGTTATGAGGTTGAAAAAATAAAAGATAAAAGTTCTTGAGTAGAAATATGAGTTCCTTGTATTGCCCATCCTTTAGTTTCTGCAATACCTTATGACAATTAATGGCAGACATCAACAGTGATAGGACATAATATTAAGTGACTTTTATATGGGCCAACTGGGATATTATTTGTCTTTCATATTTAGCCATGATGTAAGTTGTTTTTGATGTTGTGGTTCATGTCCAATTAATCTTTGTGAAAGTGATAATGCTATGTATCGCATGTCTATTGGCCATTCTACGAGCATAAAAAATGTAGAGAAATTGATCTTAAAAAGTTAATCTTAATACCATAACTTCTCTTCATGTTTAGAAATATATTTATGATTTTTTATTTCGCATGATGATTGGGTAATTGTGGTGTTAAAAAATACTGACTGAAACACTCGTTTTTATGGGATTTTATTGGTATGAGATGCTTGTTTTCTGTTGAATCCTTCTGTGTTAATAATTCTTTCACACTCTTCAAACCAGCAATATAGGCAGCTTATTGAGTCACAACTTTGGAGTAATGTTTCTTACATCATTGCTCTTGCAATCTTGCACTAGCTCTAACTCGAAAAACTAAAATACATGGAGCTTCAGCAAGAGCAGTTCTAACTTAGCTTCAAATGACCAAGAAAGTTATCAAAGCAGGTTCAAATTTTCTTGGATTTAAAATTGACGTTTCCTTCTAACTTGTCCAAAGTTGCACACTGGCCATTAAATTGACAATTGAATGAGTAAATAGAGGATTTTTTCACAAAAAAAAAAAAAAAAAAAAAAAAAAAAAAAAAATAAAAGAATTTTTTAAAAAAAAAAAAAAAAAAAAGAAAAGAAAAGAAAAGAATTACAGTATTTTATCTGAAAAAATGTAAAAGGCTTGTTTTTACTTAGATTTTTTTGTTAGTCGCAATTCAAATGGAAAGGTTTGATGTGGAGCTCTGAGATGGCATAATAACTCTTTGACTTTGCTATAATTGATGATCTTTGGTGTTAGAAGCTATCGTGTTATTTGATTTAATGATGTAGGATCATGTTACCTTAAGTGATATTGGTATTATACATACTTGATGAAAACTTTTGGTACTAAGTACATTGTATTTTATCTTTTGGAATTTTAAAGGTGCATCAAATGGGTTCAGGAGGCTTTCCCTCCTGGAGGTGACTGCTCAGGACTAGTTGTGATTTATGAACAATGCGTCCGCACTTTTTGGCATGAAGAACGATACAAGGAGGATCTACGTTACCTAAAAGTTTGGTTGGAATATGTATGCTTACTTCATAGTGTTGCTTACATTTTGTGCCTCGTTTACCAAGACTGCATAATTTATATACTTTGTCATTTATTAATGCTTCTCTTATTGGTCCTATAGATGCTTCTGATAGTTACTTGATATATTTTGAATGAATAACAGGCTGAAAATTGTGTTGATGCTGAAGTCATATATAGTTTTCTCGAGGCAAATAATATTGGTTTGACACATTCGTCTTTGTACATATCATATGCTTTGCACATGGAATGCAAGCATAAAATTAGAACTGCGAATGAAATCTTCAATCGCGGGCTATCCATGTAAGATTTCTTTTTTCTTTTATGATCCAGAGTTAAATATGTTGATGAAAATACCTATGATAATTGTGTTTTTTGGTGTTTTCTTGGAAACTTCTAATTGTGATACATGTATATGCGAGGACTTCGCTCGGTCTTGTAAGTTATAAGTTCAGTGTCGCACATAGAGAATAAAGAGAAGTATCACGTAACATACTTGAAATAAGGTGATATGTTTAACTACTAGTCGTTTCCACATAATATAGGTTTTTAAGAAGGCTATATGAGTTAAGACACAAAATTATTTTATAAATCATTTTAATCTGGTTGGGCTTAATATATCCTTCCAAAATGTTTATATCAACAGTTTAACTACTCTTTAGTTATAATTTTGATGGGTTTGAAGTGAGAATTTCCTTTAACTTAAGTACTTTTGCTTTTACTAAGGCGCTTCAACGTAGATAGAACTGTAGTTGTCTTTTGATACTTTCATCTTTGTATTTTACTTTTCATTCAGTTCATAGATATAGTATTTATGTTTCTAGCATTCGTTGGATCCCCAAGCATTTATACAATTGTCAGCTTAATACCTAAACTTGAAGGTTTCTGTTTAAGGCGACCAACTCTAAACTTACCGGGGCAGTGTTAACAAATTTTAGCCCCTGTTTGGTCCCCATTATTTGAAATTTCAATGGTTGGAATAGTGTGTTTTGTAGAATGTGTGATTAAAAAGAAGAAAAAGTTTTGGGATTACGTGTAATATGATTTTATTAGAGAATGTGTGGTTGATAAGAAGAGAGAGGAAAATGAATTATACTTTTAATGGGGCCAAATGGAGGCTTTGAGTTTGTTGTTAATATTTTTAACTTTTCTTGTCATCAACGTCATTTCTAATTAATCGTGGGATTTGATCCAAGTGTAAGCTGATGTTATGCTGCTCTTATAGATATTCTCGTAACACCGATTGCCAATAAATTTTTAATGAGTTAGAATAATTTACAGCAGAGATCTTGTAAATATTGTAAAAATTTCATGAACTACTGTTGCTGTGGAAATTTTAAAAATTGCTATAGCATGTGATTCTAAACCAAAATTTCCAGTTTAAAGTCTATAATCTTTTCTGGGTGTTCATCTCTCCTTTGATAATTATGCTTTTGTTAATTTAGAGCAAATCTAGCAACTTCATTTTTCTTGTTAGTTGTGTAGAATGCTTATGGCATATAGGCTATAGTGGAAACGGATATTGAAGGAGTTATTCAGAAGATTTCACACCATTTCCACAAAAGCTGACCCATGATAAATAAGCTTTTGTTAATTAGAGACAATATGGAAACTTATCTTTTCTTGTTAATAGTTAATTAGTCGTAATGTTGACCAGATATAGCTTAAAGTGATATTGAAGAAGTTTTTACATAAGAATCCACGCTTCTGTATTTCCTTTTTCAATCGCACAATAAGCAAGCCTTATGTTTTTTCTCTTCCTCTTTTTCTTTCGTTTTTTCCTCCTTTTTTGTCTTTTCTTTGTAGCTAAATAAATCCGTGTTTAAAATTTCATATTTTGCCATGTCAGATGATTTTTTGGTCCTTATGATTCTCGTAATGAAGTTGCAAAATTGATTCTTTTTGAATTTCTTTACCTACTAGGAATGCTCAACCAGTTGAGAAACTGAAGGCTGCCTTCCAGAAATTTCTCACTCGTTCGATGAGACAACCAAAAGCCTCAGATGTATGCAATTTCTTTTTGCCTTTTGGGTGCTTATTTTACTTTTCATTTCCTTTTATGTCGTTCCTTGATTTGGTGGTTCTGATCTCAGAAATGCCAAATATACCCTTCAATACATGCAGAGAAATCAAAATTCTCTTTCGGGGGCGTTGCCCCCGACCCCCCACGAGGGTCGCTGCCCCCTTTGTGCGCCCCGAAGTGGCGAAGTGGCAAACAATTTTGCCTAAACGGATTGAGTCGAGCTTTTGAGTATTTGACCGAATTCGATACGAATTTTAATCGATTTTCAATTCTCAATTTATTTAACCAATATCCAACAGAAACTTATCTTTTCTTGTTAATAGTTAATTAGTCGTAATGTTGACAAGATATAGCTTAAAGTGATATTGAAGAAGTTTTTACATAAGAATCCACGCTTCTGTATTTCCTTTTTCAATCGCACAATAAGCAAGCCTTATGTTTTTTCTCTTCCTCTTTTTCTTTCGTTTTTTCCTCCTTTTTTGTCTTTTCTTTGTAGCTAAATAAATCCGTGTTTAAAATTTCATATTTTGCCATGTCAGATGATTTTTTGGTCCTTATGATTCTCGTAATGAAGTTGCAAAATTGATTCTTTTTGAATTTCTTTACCTACTAGGAATGCTCAACCAGTTGAGAAACTGAAGGCTGCCTTCCAGAAATTTCTCACTCGTTCGATGAGACAACCAAAAGCCTCAGATGTATGCAATTTCTTTTTGCCTTTTGGGTGCTTATTTTACTTTTCATTTCCTTTTATGTCGTTCCTTGATTTGGTGGTTCTGATCTCAATATTTTCCTTGCCAATTATCAGGAGGACATAATGGAGAGCCATTTACCATCTCGAAGCTTTGGAACTGTATTGGCTAGGGGAGAAACAAGTATGTTACATCTATCTTTCTGCCTTTTGAAATTCGGTTTGTTACATCTATCTTTCTGCCTTTTGAAATTCGGTTGTCTAATACTTATATTACAAACTGCAGGAAACCAAGCTTCCCAAAGTTTTGATCTTTCTAGGAAAAAAATGAAGATTGACAGGTAAGCACATCGATTATATGTTTGAAGGTCCTCCAGCTGGCTTGCTTAAATTAAACTTGTAAACCAGTACATCTCCATAAACTAAGAGCTGTTTAGAACATATTTTTCTAAAATCAATTTTCTTAGAAATCGTTTTCAACCATACATCTCATAGACTCAACTTTTATCCACATTTTAACCACACATTCTCAAAAGGCAATCATTTTTCACTCGAAAAATTCTGTGCCGAACAAACTGTAAATCTAGTTATCCTTCCGCTTAATTTTAGCCAAAATAACAAACGCAATGAAGGAAAGAAGAAAGGCTTACTTTTCTTCTATTTCTTCTTCTCTTGCCACAACTGCTTTATTTGATCTCTCTGTTCATCATTACTTCAATATCCTAAATACCACCTCCATGACTAACTCCATCAATCCTCAGCTAGCACTTCCCGATCTCCATAACAAACTAATAAATCTTCTGAAAAACAAGTATTTCTATTTATGACACTTAATAATATCATTTACAATTCTATCTTATTTAACATTACCTCCAAGCGATTGTCAAGACAAAATAACCTTTCAGAATTCAAAAATATGAAAGCATTGGATCTTGTTGCATTGGAAGGGACTAGGGTGAGGATTCTATATATTAGTTGGTGATTGAAAAGTTTTTATCCTTTTTATTGCCTTACATTTAGGAGTGAGAAAGGTGTAGTTTTGTATGAGGTTATAGCATCTGGTGAAGGAACCGTTTTGAGGTCTGCCCCTTGAAGGAGGTTTATAATTTTAGTCTTTTGTTTACTTTGAGCAGTAGGGGTTTCCTGATAAGTGGGTATCTTTGTCCCTATGGTCTAGTTTTGCGAGACACTTATGACTTAATCACGTCTAGGCTACAAGAATCATGCAAATTAATGTAGCTAGCTGGTTTTTAATACCATGATGGTTTAATTTCTAGACCCCTCATGGGAGTAACTTGCCATACTCAAAATAATTTGCTTCACACTTAATATCTTCATTAGATGCTACTCCATGACGGTGAGCTACTAGAGGGCTGTAAAAGAATCCTTTGAATTAGGTTTGCTTAGCTCATTGAGATGAATACGTGAATGCAATATCTATTTCAAAATACTTCACTTTTGATGTTGCTGATGAAATCGTGCAATTCAATATTATTGACAAGCTGATATGGATTTTGCTCTGACGCTTATTTTGTCATTCTATTTCTTTAGGACTCCTGGAGCTTCGTTATCCATTTATAAAGATAGCAGCCGGGATCCAACATTGGGTCCTCAATCAGAAATGTCAAAATCAGAAGTAAAAACTTGGCACTCACTCGGTGCTCGAGCAGAAAGAAATAAAGAGAATAATGCAATTCCTTCCAAATGGACATCAAATAAAGTAAGTACACTCTGAATTCTAATCAACTCTATCGTGATGAAGTAGCAAACAAGCGCTGAAGTTAAAACTACTTCCAGATTCCCCAAAGACCTAATACAAGAATCGGAAGACCAGCTGCAGGCCCGCGCATTGAGATCTTTGTGGATGAGGAATGTTCAGGGTAAAGTATATAAACACCACCAATCAAGCATTTTCTTTTTCAGTGTAATATAAAATGAATTCTTTTTCGATCATTCAATTTAATTTATCTATGGTCATTTCTTACAGAGCACGTAAGGCAGACAATGAAGGGGACAGCAAGTCTTCAGCTCTGCAGCTTAGATCTGGAGACGGTAGAGATCTCAAGAAGTGAGTGACATTATTAAGTTTTTCTTCATACCAATAATTCTTTGTTCAGACGTGAATTATAAGTTTTTGAATGGTTGCGCAATGAAGGAAAGAAGAAAGGCTTACTTTTCTTCTATTTCTTCTTCTCTTGCCACAACTGCTTTATTTGATCTCTCTGTTCATCATTACTTCAATATCCTAAATACCACCTCCATGACTAACTCCATCAATCCTCAGCTAGCACTTCCCGATCTCCATAACAAACTAATAAATCTTCTGAAAAACAAGTATTTCTATTTATGACACTTAATAATATCATTTACAATTCTATCTTATTTAACATTACCTCCAAGCGATTGTCAAGACAAAATAACCTTTCAGAATTCAAAAATATGAAAGCATTGGATCTTGTTGCATTGGAAGGGACTAGGGTGAGGATTCTATATATTAGTTGGTGATTGAAAAGTTTTTATCCTTTTTATTGCCTTACATTTAGGAGTGAGAAAGGTGTAGTTTTGTATGAGGTTATAGCATCTGGTGAAGGAACCGTTTTGAGGTCTGCCCCTTGAAGGAGGTTTATAATTTTAGTCTTTTGTTTACTTTGAGCAGTAGGGGTTTCCTGATAAGTGGGTATCTTTGTCCCTATGGTCTAGTTTTGCGAGACACTTATGACTTAATCACGTCTAGGCTACAAGAATCATGCAAATTAATGTAGCTAGCTGGTTTTTAATACCATGATGGTTTAATTTCTAGACCCCTCATGGGAGTAACTTGCCATACTCAAAATAATTTGCTTCACACTTAATATCTTCATTAGATGCTACTCCATGACGGTGAGCTACTAGAGGGCTGTAAAAGAATCCTTTGAATTAGGTTTGCTTAGCTCATTGAGATGAATACGTGAATGCAATATCTATTTCAAAATACTTCACTTTTGATGTTGCTGATGAAATCGTGCAATTCAATATTATTGACAAGCTGATATGGATTTGCTCTGAAGCTTATTTTGTCATTCTATTTCTTTTAGGACTCCTGGAACTTCGTTATCCATTTATAAAGATAGCAGCCGGGATCCAACATTGGGTCCTCAATCAGAAATGTCAAAATCAGAAGTAAAATCTTGGCACTCACTCGGTGCTCGAGCAGAAAGAAACAAAGAGAATAATGCAATTCCTTCCAAATGGACATCAAATAAAGTAAGTACACACAGAATTCTAATCAACATTATCATGATGAAGTAGCAAACAAGCGCTGAAGTTAAAACTACTTCCAGATTCCTCAAAGACCTAATACAAGAACCGGAAGACCAGCTGCAGGCCCGCGCATTGAGATCTTTGTGGATGAGGAATGTTCAGGGTAAAGTATATAAACACCACCAATCAAGCATTTTCTTTTTCAATGTAATATAAAATGAATTCTTTTTCGATCATTCAATTTAATTTATCTATGGTCACTTATTTCTTACAGAGCACGTAAGCCAGACAATGAAGGGGACAACAAGTCTTCAGCTCTGCAGCTTAGATCTGGAGACGGTAGAGATCTCAAGAAGTGAGTGGCATTATTAAGTTTTTCTTCATACCAATAATTCTTTGTTCAGACGTGAATTATAAGTTTTTGAATGGTTATATTACAGGGAGACTGAGCTATTAAGGGAGCATCCATTGCGTAATTTCCCTTCGAGTTCTCTGCCCAGATAAATCAAGTACAAGTCTATTACTGTTGTGGTGTGTGGGATCAATGAATGGATTAAGATATTTCCGAAACTTGATTGTTATTGTTAATGAATTCGAGGGATACAATATTTTCCATTTGGGTTTCATATTTGTTTCAAGAGTGAGAAGGATTCTTCAACAACTGCATTTCCCCACGCAAATCTTAATTTTCATTATTATTAATTTTTTTTTGGTTCAGTAAATGTGAATTATATTGATAAAAAATGACTTACAATTACATCGGGCATACCCGGGCTAACATGTTCCATTCAGTCCACATACAACTACACCGGGCATTCTCGGGCGAAACAAACAAAATACAAATAAGGGGGCACAACCAATAGAGCTAATGACCCATGGCTAATGACTCATATTGAATCAAAACATTCCGATACAAAGAAAACATGATTTTGTATAGTGTGTTTTGATTTTTAGAACAATACTATTAATACATGGTTTGAGATTTTCAAAAATCTTTTTATTCCTTGTCATCCAAATGTAGTAGATGGTAGTAGTAAGTGCAATATGTTTTGTTTTGCTGTGCCAAGATGTTCCCCATCTTTCCTTTTTGATCCATTTTAGTGCACTAGACAATGTAGACATAGACCTTCGAAGACCCACCCAAGCACGGACTTTCTCCTAAACTATACAGATAAATGGGCATCCAAAGAATAAATGACTAGCTGTCTCATCCACAAGTTCATAGAAATAGGATTTGCGGTCAATGTGTAGGTAATTTAATTTGTCCTTTGTGAGCAATTTAGATTTGGCTGCCAACCACATGATAAAAACATGCTTTGGTGTCATATATGCATTCCAAACTAATTTAGCCCAGATCACCTTTGTCCCCTTCGGCCTAAAAAACTCATATGCAGCAAAAATATTGAATCTGTCATCACAAGTCTAGCTGGACAGCTTATGAACAGCCGCATATTCATTTTGTTTAGCCCTCAAAATGAAATCTCTAATCTCCAGCAATTTTTTAATAAGAGGCGAATCATCTTTCCTTAGCAAAACATCCCAAATACTTGCCCCCTTAAGATAAAGTTGATTGACCCAACCTATCCAAAGAGTGTCATTTTGAAGAATGTTCCAAAGTGTTTTTGCAAGTAGTGCTAAATTCCAGCTTTTCATGTCTCTAAAACCAAGGCCACCTTTATCTTTCGGTAGGCAAACATTCCTCCAAGCTACCAATGGCTTCTTGGATCTCCAAAGAAAATTACGGCATAGACTAATTATCCTTGAGATAATTGTTGCCGGGATAGGAAAAATAGAAAGCCAAAAATATTCAACACCTTGAAACACCACCCTAATTAACTCTGCCTGCCTTTCCCACATAAGAGAAAGATGAGCGAGTCCAAGCACCAATATAAGTTGCAATTTTATCTAAAAATGGGGCATAGCAACTAACTTTAAGCTTCACGGATGCAAGTGGAATACCCAAATACCGGAATGGCATAGTAACCTTCGGGATATTAGTGAGTGCTTGAATTTCTTCAAGTTCTTGCCCATGAATTCCAGCTGTAAATAAGCTGGATTTTAAAGTGTTCATCCTTAAACCCGATGCATTTCCGAAGTTGGATAGACAATCCATTAAGATTTGCACCGACATGATATCTCCCCTTGCAAAGAGCATTAACTCATCCACAAAAGCTAGATGCTTAATCTTTAAAGGGCCACATTTGGGTGATAATTGAATTTACTATCATTGGAGGTAGCTTTAATAATTCTCAAAAAAATATTCAAGACATAAGACAAACAAGAAGGGTGAAAGATGGTCACCTTGTCGGAGGCCTTTCCTTCCCCTTAAAGAAGTCATGTATGCTCCCATTCAAAGCAACGGAGTATGTTAGTGTAGTAACACATTCCATAACCCATTCGACAAATCTACTCGGAAAACATAACCCTTCAAGAACTTCTTTAAGGAAATCCCAATTTACCAAATCATAAGCTTTCTTTAGATCAATCTTTGAAAGACATCTCGGAGCAACTCTTTTTCTATTATATTGTCTCATAAGTTCTTGGGCAAGATGGATATTCTCCGTCATACTCTTACCTTCAACAAAAGCGGTTTGTGCTTGATCAACAATAGTCTTCAAAATAGGCCTCAACCTGGATGCAAGTATCTTAGAGATCACTTTGTAGATTACATTGCAACAAGAGATAGGTCTATGATCCCCAACATTCGGTGTGTGATTAGACTTCGGCACCAAAGTAATGATCGTGTGATTGATTTGTTTGAGGAGAGATCTAGATGAGAAGAATTCTTTGATAGTCTCCACAACATTATCACCAACAATCCCCCAAGCTTTCTTGAAAAAACAAGATGTGTAACCATCTGGCCTGGGAGATTTATCATCTCCAATGCCAAAGAGTGCTTCCTTGATTTCTTGGCTAAAAATGTCTCGAGTAAGTGAGTTACCTTGTTCCAATGAAACCAAAGGCCCATTCTTCAAAATGTCCAGCTCAATGGGACGAACGGGGCAGCTTGTGCCAAGCAAATTGCAGTAAAATAGGATAAATTTCTGAGCAATTTTGAGAAGTGGTGTATGTCTCATCCTCCTTAAGTATGGTAGCAATAAAATTCCTCCTTGTGTTACTCTTCATCCACGAATGAATAAATTTGGTACACTTATCACTTTCCTTAAGGAAAACAATCGTTGCTTGTTGATAGTAAAAGCTCCTTTCCGCTTCACATAACCCCATGGCTTTCTTCCTCAATTGTGCCACCATGAGTTGATAATGCACATTAGCGGGCTGATCATGTAGCCTAAGTTGGGCAGCCTCCAGCTCTCTTTTAGCATCATTTGCTCTAATAGAAATGTGTCCAAAGTGTTTAGCATTGAGCTCTTTCAATGCTCCTTTCAAGTTATACAACTTCTTGCAAAGTACAAATTGTTTCGTTCCCACAACATCAAAAGTCTAGCATACTTGTACAAGTCCATGGAAATCCTCATGATTTGTCCACATGTTAAAAAATTTAAACGGCTTCCTTGTGCTCTTCCCTCTTTCAAAAATAGATACAACACATGGAGAATGGTCGAAAAGACATCCCGAAGGCAAAAATTCCGCTAGGCCATAGATACCGTTTTGTCCCCAAACATCATTCACCATAGCTCTATCAATTTTACTCCAAACCGAGTTATTAGTCCATGTGTAAAGACAACCAATGGACCTCATATCCGTAAGACCAACATGTTGGCAACAATTAGCAAAGTCCTTAATTTCATAAGGGGTCATCTCCACTCCATTGCTCTTCTCATCAAATTTAAGTACATTGTTAAAATCTCCAAGAATCATCCAAGGCAATGAAACATTAGTGCTAAAATCCATAATGTTACACCATAGTGGCCTCCGGCTAATAATTGTATGGAAAGCATAAACAAACTAACATGAAAGGTATATGAAGTTACCTTACAAGTAGCAGTACAATGGATGACTTGTGATGTAATCTCCAACACTTCCAATTTGACTTTGAAAGGATTTCACAAAATCAATAATCGCCCTGCTTTGTGAGTATGAAAATTGTTTGCTTGCATCAATCCTTCGAATTTATTCCACATAACTCGGTTCAACTTTAGTTCCCCAAGTTTCTTCTCCAAAATACCGATAACATATATATCATGTCGCTTCATGAAGTGACGAATCCCATTTTGTTTAAGGGGACGGTTCAAGCCCCTAATATTCCAAGCTCCGATTTTCATGATGATGAAGCAAGGGATATACCCTTCTTCCTATCTTTCATAGTTATAGTCTTTCTTTGCTCCTCAAGCTTCCCTTTTAGTTTATCATCACTAGTAGCCTTAGTAGTTGTGTCCTGCAAAATTAATGAACATTGTCCCCCATTTCAGCCACTTGATTTCCATCCTTTTCCATCATCGGGGCAAGAGTAATCCTACCTTGAATGTGTCCATGGTGCCTTCATTTTTTCTTATTGATCACCTCAGTAAATAGGATTTTATTATCATCTGCCTGGTGACTATGCTGATTTGTACCTTGTCAGCCTGCTCCTCTTGTGGTCGATTATCACACCGTCGACCAACAAGATCACGCACATCCCCCTGAAGCATGCTGGTCCCAACAATCTGTCCAATCTGAGACGCATTGTCTCCTGCAATCTGCCCATTTTTATCAACCTAGTTTTTTTTGGAATTGGCCTTAACAACCTGATTCTGTTTTCCAGCTTGGGTATTTAAGGAGCATGAAGTTGTCATGTGCCCAAACATCTTACATATTCTACAAAATTTAGGTTCGTGCTCAAAGAGGATTTCTTGCTTCCTTAATTTACCACTAGGAGACCTTATCTTAGCTACCCTCACAAGATCTATAAATGCATCGGCTTCAACAAGAGCTCTAGCATAGGATAGTCTTCCTTTAGTGGTAGTGACCTTATTAGTAGAAATAGGCTTACCCACCTTAGATACAATTTTACCCAAAGCATGTGTGTTCTAGAACTCCAAAGGCAGACCTGGTAGGTTGATTCAAACGGGCATCATGCTCACTTCCTTTTCATCAATCTCAAAATACCGAGGCATGACTTTAAGCATTAATGGTCTTCCAAAGACAAAATATGGACCTCCATGTAACACCGATAATCTTTTCGCATCCCTCTCAAATTTAAAGACCAACCATCCACTAGAGTGAACAAAATATTGATACTGAATCTTCTAAGAATCACACAATTGGAGTAAGGCGTTTTTCCCTAGGAATCTACCAACAAAGTACCCAACGAACCCAAATCCCCAAGCCATCTCTACTTTTTGAGATCCATTTCACATAGGACCACTTCTTCCGATTGATTTTCAAAAGCTTGTAACTTGACATCATCAACAAATTTTCGATTATCCTCGAGAAGGTTCACCTAAGGTACTTTCTCACCTTTTTGTCCATCATTCCTAGCATCATTAACCACTTGTTTTTTCTTCAATTCAATAGTTTGAGGTACAAAGTCAGACTCGTCGGATGTTGTATCCTCTTCCCCAAGTGTTAAAGAAATGCTTGGAGAGGCCTTGATGTCCTTTGCATCCTCCACATGGATGTTGCGGGAATTGATAGGTGTAGCAATACGCTGAAGTGGAGGAACAACACGGCCTTGGTTAGAAGAAAAATTCCCTTCAGAATCCAGCTCATAATCAACCTAGGCTAGAGCAATGTTTTTTTTAAGAGGCAGTCCACTATGTTGGGCCACATTGGGTTTTTCCTTAGCCATTCCAACAGATAAAATGAACACAAGAGGCCCAAACAAGAGGCAAGCCCACGTGCAGGGTAGAGAAAAAGTCCAAGGTAATATTATAAATTATTTCCCAAAAAGGGAATAGACCCAACAACTACTTTGACCAATTGTCCAAACTGAAAACCAACAGAGCAGAGCAGACTGAACACAAATCAAACTCAAGATTTAAATTTGAATAAAAAAGTACCTATACATACAATCAATCGTGCTCCCTGTCCCGGCTTGGGGACAAGGATAAAAATAGGGACGCCTGTCCCCAAGTCGGGACAGGGGATTTTATCCACATGCAATATACATACAGCCTTCAACCCATGGAGATGAAAGTTCAACCCCACCGACGATCGAAAGAACCAAAACCAACCGCTGAAAACAATCAAACCAGAAATCTGCCTATGCACTGACCTAAACTAAGCTGGAAGGACAGTTTGAAATAGCACCTCAAACTAAAAACTTGCAAACCTCACTAAGAAAAGCACACACAATGTTCAATTTCACAGTATGAAAGCAAAAACAAATCCAAAGACAAGAAAAACTCAGATTGCAAGAGCCAAGAGGCATCAAAGTGAGTGTCTCACTCACTAAGATTGAGAGTTTCTCTCTATAACCACTTGTTCTTGTTTAACTGTAGGCTATTTTTAGCATTAATTTTTTTTTTTTTCACTATTATTCATATGCTGTCTTGATGTTGAAAGTTTGGTTGTGGGATTGTTACTTTCTTCAAAGGATTTGTCACTAGGGGATTGTGAAGTGGGCTTGAGCCATGACGGCGTATCATAGGACTAGACTATTCCTTACATAGAAGTAGTAGATAAGATCTCCATATTGGAATAGGTGTTCGGATTGAAATTGCAATTCTAAGAGCGCAATGAATCCAACTGTTGCACATTCTCTCTTTGGTTGAACCCCAACTTCATTTTAAACCATGTCATTTTGTGGATGAGTTCAAGGAAAAACTTAAGGGTGCCAAGAATGAGTCGATTACTATCCTCTTGGACCTTATTGCTCCGAACTCGTTAGTAAGCTCTTGTTTGGGCTCCATTAATTTCAAAATGCTTTTTTTTATTCTTTTCAATTACATATTTTTTAATAAAATAATATTGTAAGTAAATTTTAAAAAAAATTCTTCTATTTTAGTCACATTCTTCAAAAAAATTTATTACTAAAAAGTACATTTTTTTCTCAAAAACCAATTATAACGGAGTTCAAACGGGTGTTAAGAAAACCATCAAGTAGATTATGAAAAAAAGAAGAGTGCTACCTTGCACAGGCTCTGTGCAACAGAGCCTATACAGGTACACATACATGGGGTGGACCCCCATGTGAGATGCCCTGTGCAGGCAGGGTTGTACAGGAGGCATTTCTCTTAAAAAAAACTTCAAGTACAATAAAATGAAAAGTTAGGATTTAAATATTGAAATAATAGGCTAGGGCTCAATCTATAAATAGGCCATAGGTTGAAAAGCTTATCTTGTTAACTAATTGTCACAAACAAATAAATAACTATTAATGATGGAAAATTCGATAATTAACAACAAATGTAATAACTTGAAATTAGCAAATGAGTTTTCTAGACAATCTAATTGTAACTTTAACTTATGCAAGACTCTAGAAATCTATTCGACTTCAAATGACAGAAACTACTAGAACATTTTCAACTGACTTTTGAAAAGCTTGAACCCCCAATTCATGTCTAAAGTAGACAAATTTCTCAGCTGGTATGGTTTAGGTAAAAATATCAGTTAGTTGCTCTCCCTTGCAAAATTCCATGTTCGTGTCACCATTCTCCACATAAGAATCTCTATATGTTTGACCGAGCATGACAAACAAGTTGTTTGTTGTTATGGCCGACTTATTCACAGAGTTATTGAAATTTTCTACTAATGTTTCATGTCACTGTTGAACTCAAAATTCGAAAAATAAAGTTCAGGCCACCTCCCCGTTCACCTGAGCATTATTTGCATGTTGAACACATTGCTAGGGTGTAAAAGGTCTTTTGTCGGGAAAAAAGGTTCGACAATTGCTTGCACTCTGCGATCAAGTCAATTGTGGGTGCAAGAGAAAAGGGGTGGGGATTTGGTTAGGGGTTAAGATGTTTTAAAACATACCTTTAAAAAATGTGTTGCAATGAACTCACATACTTAGGAAAATGGGTCAAGTGGGGTTGATTGATTAAACCCAAGCCCAGGACGAGGTCGACCCAATCTAATTAATCAAATCAATTGATGTCGAATTGCCAAACGTGGAACCCCTCCGCCATGTCTTGGATAACCAAGAAATAGCCTCGGATCCCAAGTAGAAGACATCGCTTGAAGTACTCTATTATTATAATTATTTTATTTTGAAATATAAGAGACCGAAACTTTTAGCTCTTTGACATATCTCATGATTCTTTTTCTGTAGCGAAATGATTTTTTCTTGGCTTATCCATGAATCTTGAAACAACACCAACATAATTAACAATATTCGGTCTTCTATTTAGAGTAAGTGATGGCTCATTTGAATTTTTTTAAATCTATGTTGCTGAAAATATTGATCAATTATATTGTTCCATGCAGCCTTTCAAAGTCGATACACCTTTTCTTCTTTTCCTTTGATGATATAGACATATGGTTGCTCTGTGCATACTTTGTTTAATTTCTCCATTTAGAAAAGCTAATTTTACGTCCATTTGAAAATTTTGAAAATTTATTTGTGCTGTTATTGCCAAGAAAGTCTTATAGTCTCCATTCTTGCAACCGGTGTGAATCTCTTGGTGAAATCAACTCCAAACTGTTCAGAATATCCTTTTGCAACGAGTCTCACTTGAATGTTTGAATCGAGTAGTCTTACTATATTTGGTCTTTTACACTTGTTTCAGCCCAATTATTTGCTTTTCTTGTGGCTTGTCTACTAATTTCCATGTTGCATTTTGTTGGAAATTTGTATAGAAAATGATTATTTAAGTGAAAATCGTTAGACGGTGAATGGGAAATTGAAGTTGCTTAAATATGTGAAATTGTCAAAAAATTGTATAGAATATTATGGAATATTCTAGAACCTATTTGAACGAGGATTATATCTTTCCGAAATAATATTTTTCAAAAGTCATGTCCTTTTGAATATGTATTTTTCAACAAGACTTGTCTTTTCAGATATGACTTTTCATTGAATTGTCTCTTTCCTTTTTCGATCACTATATATAGTCCTCATATGTTTGGTGGAATTTTCATTCATCACTTCATCTTAGCATTATCACATTAATACATATTCACTTTAATAACATTTGCATTTATTTTGAGTTGAATTTCATATAAGAGAGTTCAAAAATTAATAAGTTGGTTGATTTACGTAATTTGGATTGCTGTTATTGCAAGACATGATAGTTGAATTTTAAGAGATAAATGCCAAAAAATCATTAGCACACATGCATGACATTATCATTGTAGGGAGCAAGAGTTAAACTTTTACTTCGATCAAATTCAAATTTATGCATTTCTTGTTCCCACTAATCGGAATACAAATTATGCATCGACAATTTTCCTAGCAATCTTCTTGATCATTTTCATTTTCCTATCTATTGCTTTCACCCAAGCTTGATTATAGATGCTTCTTCATATTTTGTGGCTAATATGCAAGATAGACGACATCACACTGTTCATAAAATTCTTGCAAATTGTGAGTCTTCCTAGTAGGGAATGAGTCCAATGATGAATTTGGACCTCTGACCCTTTAAATTTCTGCCTCAATAAAAATTGGTGGGCTCAATTCTTTATCGTCCCATGTACACGGTCGAGTTAATAAATAATGAAATCTATCTGGAGATTATTAGCTTTTCTGACCACCACTGTATCCAATGAAGAACCATTTTTCTCCTTTTTCATCAATCTTCCCTTTGTTTTGTGCTGGAGCTGTTAATGAGATACGTACCCAAAAACTTTAATATCTTCAACTTTTGACTTCTTGTACCATGCGTCATATGGTGCCATGTTATGGACAAATTTCGCACGCGATATGTGTGTATATATCCTTTGAGTAGGTCTACAGTAGGGGAATCATAGTTATAGCTTTGAGAGACATCAACTTCCACCTCTTTCAGGGGGATTGGTTTCTCACTCCCTCCTTATGCTTTGAAAGTTATCCTACTGCATTTCTTCCTCTTCTTGATTTTTCCTAGAGCCTCTATAGTGAGGTTGAAAGAAGTCAGGATTAGGAATATTTGGGAGCATTTTGCATACAACTTTAGCTTGCATTTTGTGAAGGAAGAGTCGCATGATTGCATTTTTCCGTGCCAAGTTCCTCATGTTGGTAGTCATGACTACTACCTCTCTGGTGAGGCATGTGTCAGCCAACGTTTATCTTCGATGATGGGGTCATCAGCGTTGGGCATCTCCAATCGGGGCCTCATTTTAGTAGGCCTCTCTTGCTTGTCTTCACGAATTAGTTTCGTCTTCTTCACTCATGCTAATTTTCGAATCAAAATGCCTCTTTTCTTTAAGTAGTTTGTTTGTTTCTTCAAAGGGTTGCTTTCTTTAAGGATGAGGCCAAGATATATGCTTATTTTTCAAGGAAAAATACTTTGATATGGGGGTCAATGAAGATGCTCATTTTTTAAGGACAAATGCTTCAAGATTCTACCTCTTTCCTTTTTAAGAAATAGGGACCCAAAGTTGGAGATTTTCTTGGAAGATTTCTACAAAGCTTCCACTTGTTCTTCCGATAAGATCAATACTTTTTCAAGGGAAAGTATGTGGTTTTTTCAGTAGTTTTTTTTACTCAAGGGATTCACTCATGATTAAAGTGTGATTTCCCCTCAATTAATCTCTTGACTTTCAAATTCAATGGGACCCAACTTTAAAGAACTCTACCCCTCTCTTATTCATGTGTATGTTATTTGCACACTTGAAAACTACGTTAGATTGAATAAGATCGTATCTCTGATAGGGTGTGATGATCGTGTGCACTCTACCATTAATGTCGGACGATGAAGAATATATTTGAGTGCGGAAGATATACAATGGATGAAAATACGGGTGGTAGGTTGAAAAGAGCATTATCAAGATTGTGAGTATAATATTGAATTACCTTAAGATGTCACTTGGTGTGGTAATCTTGCATTATCACAACTTTTTATCAATTTTCAACCTCATATTTTATTAATTTTATCAAGATTTACTAAAGTTCGATTTTTAGCTAAATCAGACACTGGCTTAGATTTTCTCACAATCGAAAGTATCAGTGTAGCGTTACATCACACTCAACTCTTACAAAACATAAAGTCAGTTCAAATCACTTTACATTTCTCTTCATTCTACTTAAAATCATTTACGATTCGATGATAAAAAAAAAAAAAATTAGCATAATTTTCTCTAGGTTCCGCATTTTAAGTTTGATATCTATATGTTTCAAACCAATCATTTATTGCACTTATTTCCTCAACTTTTCAAAACTGTGTCTCTCAAGTCCCTAACTAACGAAAAATATTTTATTCAAACATTAAATAAATGTGTGACACTTATTTGATATTGTACTTAAATGACACATTTTCTTTATTTAACAAAATTCAAATGATTACTTTTAACTTTCATTTAGATTTCGAATATGGTAAAAAAAATTAGTGTTAGCATGTATCCTTTATTTTAACCTATCTTTGACATCACGTTAGTGTCTATTAGTTATTTAACATTTAAATAAACATTTTTAGGAAATATAAATGGTATAATTTCAAAAGAAATAAGTGCAATAAATAATGCTATTTGAAATCACTCACTATCGCAATCGTCTTACGTAATATATACGCGATGGTTAGTGATTTGATATATAAGATAATAAAAAATTATCATATCAATATGTTAAATCGCAATCTGCCACATGGAATACTACCTAGAAAGATTATCACAATGAACAATTATAAATAGCATTACTCATAAATAATAGGTTGACAACATGCATGGCATGTACAAAAGGTTTGGGGACCCTTGTGAAATTTACAAAAAGTTACTAGCACCGTAATCTAGAATCTTCTTTCCCATTTACCCAATTACCCTTCAAAGTTTGAGGCATTTCAATTGTCTGCCTTCTCTCAATTTCATCGATCGACCCTTAAAACCCTAGCTGAGTAATAATCTGTACTCAATTGATCAATCAATAATCAATAATGGCGGAGCACTTGGCCTCCATATTCGGAACGGAAAAGGACCGGGTTAATTGCCCATTTTATTTTAAGATCGGCGCATGCCGCCATGGCGACCGCTGCTCCCGCCTCCACAACCGCCCTACTATCTCGCCGACGCTGGTCCTCGCCAATATGTACCACCGTCCAGACATGATAACCCCCGGCGTCGATCCCCAGGGTCAGCCCATCGACCCCAAAAAGATCCAGGAGCATTTTGAGGATTTTTATGAGGATATATTTGAGGAGCTTAGCAAGTTCGGCGAGATCGAAACCCTCAATGTTTGTGATAACCTCGCTGATCATATGATTGGGAATGTTTACGTTCAGTTCAAGGAGGAGGATCAGGCTGCTGCTGCTCTCCAGGCTTTGCAGGGGAGGTTTTACTCGGGTAGGCCCATTATTGTGGATTTTTCTCCGGTTACTGATTTTCGTGAGGCTACGTGCAGGCAGTATGAGGAGGATAATTGTAACCGTGGTGGCTATTGTAATTTTATGCATGTGAAAATGATTGGGAGGGAGCTTAGGAGGAAGCTGTTTGGGAGTCACCACCGCAGATTCAGGAGAAGTAGAAGCCGCAGTAGGAGTTTGAGTCCCCCACACTACCACAGGCGAGAGAGGGAGAGGGACCATGATCCGCGTGATCATCGCAGAGGGGATTATCGGGGTGGTGGTGGTGGGAGGAGGAGTGGTAGTGACAGACATGGGAGGTACGAGGGAGAGAGGAGGAGGCATGGGGTGAGTCCTGCTCCAAGGAGGAGCAGGAGTCCAGTGAGAGAAGGAAGTGAGGAGCGTAGAGCTAGGATTGAGCAGTGGAACCGCGAGAAGGAGGAGAAAGAATAGTTATGCAGTTGCTTCGGTTGCTCCGTTTGCTCCGTTGTCCATCCTTCAACTTCAGATGAGGGTGTAAATGGAGCTGGCTAGTTATGCAGTTTTTGTACTTCTGGTGATTGTTCTAGTTATATAATTTTTATGCTTATAAAAAACTTCATAATGTTGTTTTCCTTTCACGAGATTATGATGGTTAATTTGGAAGATAAAAGCCAATGTCTTTCTTTTTGTATTTTTCCTCTTAAATCTTGTAATTGAAGACTGGTGCTGATGTTTATAGTTCTTTTTACAAGGGCTTAACATGCTTCATTGTGTTATCGTAATGCTTATATATTTGCTCCTGTTGTTCTTTGATGTGAAATTTTTGTGCAGTACTTGCTGTATTTCTGGTTATACGTTTTTTTAGATTTTCATATATTTCATAATTACAATGAGTTGTCATAATTGCTAGGTGATGATTTATACATGTTTCTGTTCCGCACATACTTATTGATAAGCTCCACATCAAGAGAGGACAGTAACAATGCATCCATTCTGTGCCATTACATTTTCAATGTGGGTTTTATAACTGTCCCATCCTTAAGTACCTTTTTGTGCCTATAAATAGTCGCACTTTTGATCAAGCAAGTGTGGTTAAGATTTTTTTGTCTTAGTTTTATCTTCAATCCCAATACCAATGGTGAATCTTCTCAAGGCTTGTTTTTTGATTACCTGAAAATGCATGTTTGAGTTACTATTTTGACAATTTTGTCGAGACCAAGTACCTCTAAATACGATTTCGTTTACTCAGTTCATGTGTTTTTAAGGTTCACAGTGGGAGTTATGGTGGATCTAGAGTAAGTGCATGTGTATGATGGAGTTAGTTGCAAATGTGAGATGTAATGGCGGAAGTAGAGCAGAGTGATGGACAATAACGAACATATTTTAGGAAAAGTAAGTAGCTTAGATATTTTTTGTTTTGATGTAATTAGAATGGATTTAGCCCTTGCTTGGGGCTCCATTAAAAATTTTTTTAGGAGAAAAATGTATTTTGGAATAGTGATTTTTTTTTTTTTTTTTTTTTTTTTAGAATGTTTTTTTTTTTTTTGAAGAATGTGTATTTTTTTTTGGATTTACGTGTAATATTTTTTATTGGAGAATGTTTGGTTGAAAAGAAAAGAGAAAAATCTATTTTGAATAAAATGGAACCCCAAACAGGGACTCATTTTGATAAGGCCTTCATATGATTAAATTTATTAGAAGTTCCTTCAATTTAACTTGTTTACAAATTAATAAAATAAAAGAGCATCAGGGATTCAGTTTGCACCTTGCCTACGACTTTGGGAAAATTAGAATCACATTTCGTACTTGTGAATTTATCTTGTTTTCTTACTTTTCTCTTTCACTGCAGTACTTGATCTTTCATTTTCTATATCTTGTATCACAATCTTTTTCTCTCCCGTACGTTTGCTTTCCCATTTTGCATCTTAGTGGATTTCCTATGATAATAGTCTTGCATCAATGCTTGGTCTTAAGTTATTTTCTTTCTTTCATTTGTTACTTTAGTCCTTGGATTAGCACATGATACACATCCAAGATGAGGTTTCTTGATACATGTTATTTGTTGATAACATAATTTTTTTAGTCAATGAGAGTAGGAGTTTAAATGATGAGTTACAATTTAAGAGTCTGGAATCTAAGGTTTTAAAACTAAGAGACAGACGGTATATGAAAATGTCATTTTATTGATAGTAGAAACAGGATATTTGTGGGGTCACTATAGAGGATCATGTTTGTTTTTAGGTGTTTAGATTTGATTATTAACAAGAAAGGAGCAATCGAAGATGATCTAATGCATTATCTGGATGAAATGGAGAAATGCTATAGGAAGGAATTATGTATGATTGAAGAATTCTTGCAAGGTTTAAACATCAATTCTACAGGATATATCTTAAACATGCTATATTTTATGTACTGAGTGTTGTTTGTTTGTGGACAAAATGTCTATAGGATGAATGAAGTGAAAATGAGGATGATATTTCACCTTGGAGGTGCCTAATGAACTTCAGAAGGGAAATAATACTGGTAGTTAAGAATTGGAGGGTGGGCAGTGTGTTGGTAGATAAGAATTGCCTCAAGTACGTGCAAACTTTTGTGGCGTTGCAACTTAAGGTTTGTTTCAATGTTGGTTTGCTGTTCATGAGCCAGCAAAGGACCCATACTTTATTTCTGAGCTATCTGATATTCTGTGGCATTGTTATATTCTTCTAAATATAAATGTGTCGATGAACTTGTAGATATATTAAATAGTTTTAGAAACATATGGTCGTGCGCCTGAGAAGTTTGAAGTTCATGTATTCTAGTGCTATTTCTGATTTGAGCTCAAATGATCATAGCCATTTACCTAAGACTGCAATCTGAGCACATAAATCCCCAAGCCGAGCAATTGGTTTTAAGTACATAGCGTAATCTGATTTTGCTTTGCTACGTCTCTTGATTCATCTGTGATGTGGGAATAACATATGAGCTTTGTCCTTTGTATTAGGACTTGTGTTTTTCCTTTGTCTGTGAAATAAATTCGATACAAGGCTGGATAGATGAATGGAATAGAATGAGGATATTAGTGTTTTGTCTATCATACATTTAACAGGTTTCATCAACAAGAATCACCGATGGGAAATATGTAATCAAAATTAGTATGGATTAATTTTATTTGCATCTTTGGATAAATTATACAGAAGTTTTGCTGGATGGTTTGTTGAATTGTCTTAATTTCTTGAATGATGCCCCCTCTCTCAGATGCGCTCACCTTGTAAGCAGCAGTTGCGATTACATCTGGAGTGCTAGCTAATGAAGGTAAGAAGAATACAGATTTAGCCCCTAAAAAGCCATGTACAATCGGAATTGTCTTGCTTGACTCGTGCCTTTATTCTGTAATAATAGCACCAGATCATTCTGGTGGCATTTTCTCGTGTAAGATTGAAGAATAACAGTCGAGGTGTTCACATTTGGTACTTGATAAGCCCAATTAAATGAATTATGTGACATTGTATTTAAGTAAATTTATCATTTAATGTCATACATTTGTCACGTAGATTGATGTTTGATATCAGTGGTGTTGAATAGTTTTACACTTGGAGATTGAGGGATTGTTTGACATGATTTTTACTTTTGCTTTTGTTTTTACTTTCCGTAAAAGAATTTTTGGAAGAAATTATCATAATTGTTGTTTAAAAACTATATTTTAAAAGCACTTTTAGAATAGAATTGCTTTCAGAGGAAGTCATATTGGAGTATCTTTATTTAAAAGCTCTTCTAACTAAAAAAAATACTTTCATAAAATTAGTCAATCGAGTTCAAAATTTCTTTTTGACTTTTCAAAAGTCATATTAAACGGGTTGTGAATGTCTTGCGTAAATGTTGATGTTGTGTAGTAGTGTCAAGGTTCATGGTCTGCGGCCTTGCACAGGCCAAAATGAACAAACGAAATTTGAATGTCCGACCGTTCTAGTTCATCCACCACCAATTAGTCACAAGTAACGAATCCGACCCATCTCAAATACGGGTTAGGTCTGGTCGGGTGAGGGCTCTCAATTGACAAACATTAGGCCCATAAGCATATTCCAAGAGAATATACTTTTGTGCTTTTTAAAGTATATGCATATAAAATTTCCAAATTAAAGGAGATGATACAAATGGGACAATTTTAAGTTGCAACTTAAATGAACTTTTCCATGATTGTAGTTTCATTTGTTGAATTTTGGAAATATAATATTTTATTCGCTACCTTATTTTTGGTATTATACTTTCAGTTAAAAAAAAATTAAAAAAGTACTGCTTTTTGTTGAATTTGGTAACAAGATCTCTATTCCATTTACTAAATAATTTAAAAACCATTAATTGATGTCAAAATCTACAGTCCATTTGATGTAATTTTTTTTGAAAAGTAACGTTTAAAGAATTTTGTAATTAAAAAAAAAAGGAAAAATTATATGTTTAAAATTATTTTTTTTGAAAGAATGTGTCATTAAAAATAAAAAAATGAGCTTTAAAAAGCTTGTATTAAGATTTGTTTGAGCCCTCTTTTTCGTCAAAAATATATTTTGAAATAATATTTTGATAGAGAGTGTGTAAACTATCCATCCAGGGGATGCATGGCCTGATGGCCATGTCCGTTTAGGAAAATTCTTAATAGTTTCATAGACTAACACCATGTTTGAGTGACATTTTTTTAAAAAAATTCATTCTTAAACAGTGATTTGACATCATTTCAACCACACATTCTTCAATAAAATATTATTACATGCAAATTCAACTTTTTTTATTTTTTAATAATACATTTTTCATTAATACACTATTAAAAAATGCATTCTAAAAAAAATAATGTGACTCAAACATTTCGTAATATGAGAGTGAAACTCAAATCTCATGAAATTAAAAATTGATACTTCAGATGTCAAGGAAAAATGAATAACGATCTAAAAAAAGAGAGTTAATTAAATTATTGCCTACCGAACTTTACCTTAAGTTATCACTTGTTCACTGAACTAAAAAAGACGTTGGTTAAATTGAAGATGGAGACTTTAAGAAAAGTTGAAACATTTGAATATACGGGGCATTTTCGTTATTTGAAAATATAAGAAGGTGCAAATAGTAATTTAAGAAAATAGGAGGGCAATAATTTTTGTGTTACATGGGCATAGAGTTAAGCTGGCGAGTTGGTTGGTAGTATCGCCCCTTTCGCACGCTATATAAATGGGGCCTTCTCTTTGTAGTGAGAGAGAATAGAGTACCGCAAAGCACTTGTGTAGTAGTAGGTGAAATCGCAACTGGAGATGGATTCAGATTTCGGAGTTCCAAGAGAACTTTCTGATCTTCAAAAACTTAGATCTCAGTATCGACCTCAACTCCCGCCCTGTCTTCAGGTGAATATTCTCTCTCTCTTTTCAACATTGTTATTGTATTATTATTGATTTCGTTTTTTTTTTTTTTGATAGATATCTTTCTCGCTGTTATTGAATCTATTGTGATTTTTGCTGTACATGCTAACGTCTAGGAGAATAGATCTGACTTATACCCTGTTATTTTGTCTGGTGATGTAATGTGTGTCCCCTTGTTTTTTTTTTCCTCATTGGATATTTAATGGATGAAATGTGGTAGAATAAGAACCCATTTCATTGCCGATTCATAGGATATTCAGATTTTAGTCCTCGGAAATGCTTCATTTAAGCTTAAGCTTGAAATTTTAAAGATTTGGATTGCTTTCTGCTTTCAATAATCAAATTTTGTTTTCATCACAATGTGTATGTGTCACGGAGTACTAATTTCAAATTTATGCTGTTCATATCCAAAATAATATGCCGTATTAAGGAAAG